CGTATGTGAGGTGAAGTGAGTTTAAGTTTCGAATGTGGGTTCGTGAGTACTCTATGACCATTTATTATTATTATTATTATTATTATTATTATTATTATTATTATTATTATTATTATTATTATTATTATTATTATTATTATTATTATAAAAATGTATGTGAATATTTTGCTTATATGGTAATGTTAATTATATATTATGATCTACGATAATAGAATACTGAAGAACTTCCTCATACACACAATTTCAGCCATGACTCTAGCAGCATTGGATTCTCACTTTGTACCTCGTAATACAAAATCAAACAATTTGCCAGTTTACTCTGTAATGAAATTTGACACGTGTGTGAAAGTCGTATCTCATAAAGGCAAGGAATATTTTCTTCGAAATATATTACACGAAAAATGGGTCATCGAAAGTCATCATCCCAGTGTTAATTAAAATTGGACTCACAAAAATGAACGTCTATCAAATATTCTCATCAAAACAATAAAGAAATTATTGATATTTGATTACCTAACTAATAAATAAATGTAACATTGTGTGTATTTAGAAAATTGTGTTGTGCTCGCCTGTTGAGTAATGTAATTTGACATTGCTTTGCAATTTATCAGTGATATTTCGCTTTTTCTCTCTGTTCTTTTCTAAACATTTATCTGTATTCTCAAGTAAACGGCCAACTAATGAAAATTAGGAATATTTAAAAGCACTATAAATATTTGATATTTAGATGAAAGTTAATATATAAGAGCAAGGAAAGATAAGGAGGGGGCCTAACTTAATTCCATAGAAACAATGAATTTAGATTTTCCGTAGTGTTTAACCCTATCCTATAGTGGTCACTGTGAAATTATAAAACGTATTGGTTACGTATTTGATATTTCGACCAGAATTCCCGATATGCTATCTTGACCTGGGTTCCTATGGATAGCGCCCTTTGAAGACCTGGACGCAACCCCAGTAAAGTGATTTAATGTAAAATGTCGGTATTTAGCGTATTTGGAATGCTTTCAATGTACATATTTCGGCGATGGCGTTACAAATTGACACTATTGACCTAGGGAATGTGTTACTATAAATTTGACAAAAAATGACGAAGAAAAATATTGCCGCTTAAATTTTGGTCACATTGATTTTAAAGATTTATTGATAAATATTAAAATATTACAGTTAGGGCACTAAACTACAAGAAAATGTGTACACGAGACATTCATGATATTTTTACTTGTATATGCAATGTTCCTGTCAAAATCCAGTAAATGCTAGTCCATGGTGCTACACTTTAAAAAAAAATCTTTTGATCTGTAAAAACACGATTATCTTGAAGCGATACCCCATACATATGTAAGACGTCTTGTAGGTAGTGTAGGCTTCCCCCTAAAGTCAATCTTACATTAAAGTACCACAATCTGAAATACTCTGCAATACAACTCTGGAATTCACTCCCAGAATCGTGGAAACTAATAACTAACAGACGCAAATTAAAAACGCAATTAACTGATCATCAGTGTATGTTTGCGTTATTTATTTATTTATTGCTAGGCGTGGGATAACTAACAATAATTCAATAATTTAACTTGGCATCGAACGCATTTTTTACATATGCATTGAGAGTGTGAATCACAAACGCTATTTCTATCAGATATTGCGATTTCAATTCATTCACTCCTTCATTCAATCCATGATGTAGGTACTCTACATCATATCTATAACGAATGATTCTCTGTTTTATCGGTTTAACTGTGTTATTAATCAGCATTCTAGCATGGCTCGATTATTAACGCCAGATCGCTGTGTTGTATTAGATATGTTTACATGCTACAATAGGAGGGTTTTTTTTTTAAATAAACTCAATAGAAAATGAAAATAAAAAGGAAGGAAGGACTAGGTAGGTTCTGGCAGAACCTTGTTGAGACGACCATTGTCATTACAGCAAACACATACCATTCATTTAATTCGTCGAGCCTAACAAACTAATTACATAAATCGTTTCAGTACATGTCAATTAATACATAACAGAATGTACAGCAGATCATTTCGTATTTATATAAATATTTCCTATAGTTCAGCGATTGTATTGTCTTTTATCTGCGATATATAAATCAAATGTCTCCTCTTCCATACTTCGCTGACACTGAACAAAAGTCTAATGTGCGTACATGCAATGTTTTATTTATGCAATTATATACAACATTTCCATACATTTACAGACTAACTACTACCCTCATGCAAATATATTAGTATCTAATAAAAAAACAGCTGCCTGCGGTTAAGTTAGAAGTCTCCGTGTTGATTGGTCAAACCAGATGCGGTAATAACAAATTCCTAATGACACATTGTAGCTGGAAGAAATATAGAACAATCGCATATGAGTAAAATTTAGACTTGATGTTTAAGTAAGGCTACACCGATTTAATTTTATGGATGACATCCGCGCGCGCATTAGTTTTCGCCTGTTCTCAAAAAAAAAAAAAAATTCTCCGACGACGAGTCTCCACAGATCGGTTTTCTGTCCGGAACTTGCCGACTCATATTGTCGCAAAACGCCGACTTGTTGTAAAACTCGTTTTGGCTACCTCAAAACCAAACTCCGCACAGTTAGATGCGCGTTACGTAAAGCGCAAAAACCCATGGGAAAGAGATTGCCTCAAAACATGCAAATTTTGCCATAAATGATCCAACATGGCGACCACACCACCAAAATACGTGAGCATAAAAGCAGAGGTGAAACAGAGGATTGTTGTAGACTGGTACGCAATTGACGTTGGCCAGGGAGACGTTTACACTATATACGAGAAGTCGGTAGCGGCAAGCGAGTTTCGCCCAGACAACTTTGAGAACATATTGTCCAGAGTGGCTGTCCCGTGTTTCTTCTGCAATGATGAGAGAAATGGGAGAGGAGTGGAGGTGTATGGTGGGCTAAAA